CCGGGCCCGCGGCCGCCGCCATCTTCCCACCCACCTCCCGCTCCTCCTCCGGAGAGGAGGGCTGGGAGCCGCCCGACAGGGAGAGGGGCGGGCCGGGAGTAGGCCAGGGGAGAGGGGGAGGCTCCGGAGGCGCTTCCCGACCGTCCCCTCAAGCCCCGGCCGAGCTCGCAGCGGGAATTCGGGGAGGGGCGCCGAGGGAGGGACAAAATGGCGCCGCCTCGGGGCTGGCGGGGCACGCCCTGAGCGAGGGCAGCGGCGGCAGCAGCGGGACCTGCCCCGGGCTTGGCGGGCGCCTCACGGCGAGGGGAGGGCCGGGAGAGAAGGGAGGAGGGCCGGGAGGCGGCTCCCGTCCCTCTCGGCGGCGGTTTCAAGCGGCGGTGGTGAGGCAGGGCTAAGATGGCGGCAGGATGAGCGGCGGCCGGCAGCGCACTTTGCCGCAGGTGTGGCGGGCGCCTGAGGGCAGAGCGGAGCGGGGGGAGCCGGCCGGGGACAGCGATGACGAGCTGCTGCTGGCGGCCGCGGCCGCGGCCGACCCCGGGCCGCCGCAGGGCTTCAGCGAGGCGGCGGGCTCCATCTGGATCTACCCCACCAACCTGCCCGTGCGCCCCTACCAGGAGCGCATGGCCGGCGCCGCGCTGCTGGCCAACACCCTGGTGTGCCTGCCCACCGGGCTGGGCAAGACCTTCGTGGCCGCCGTGGTCATGTACAACTTCTACCGCTGGTTCCCCTCGGGCAAGGTGCTGTTCCTGGCCCCCACCAAGCCGCTGGTGGCTCAGCAGATGGAGGCGTGCGGCCGCGTCATGGGCATCCCGAGCCGGGACATGGCGGAGATGACAGGTACGGCCGCTGCCCGCGGGCTGCCAGGCGTGAAAAGCCACAGTGTGAGGGAAAAAATAAAACATGAGAGGTGTTTGAAGGGCTGACTGCTGGTTTGGCCGTAGTTAAAAGCACAGGTCGCCTGTATAAAGGGTGAAGCGCTGCGGTGCAGCCCTGGGGTCACAGCGTGCACGTCTCTGCACACACAGAGCACTCTGTGGGATGCTGAAGCCAAAGAATAATGGCTCTTTAAACCCACTTCAGAGCTGGTTCTGCCCCTCCTTCTCATCCCCTTGTCACTTTCCGCGTCACTTTTATTGTCGCTTTCCTTGTCACTTTCCATTCACCTTTTTTTTTTGCAGCCCCCCTGAGCTGCAGTTTATTCCTCACTGCGGTAACAACCTTGATGACTGAACCCATAACCTGGTTTGAGACCCAGACCTTCCCCACAGGTGTCTTAAGGGATGTTCCGAGCAATTGGCTATAAACATGCTATAAACAATATTTTGAGCTTCCCAGCCTTGATTTCCATGGTTCTGGATTTAATCTTTTAATGCAAAAAACTCTTCCTAGTCATTGTACTGCATCAAGAGAAATACAGGTTGGATAGTAGGAAAAGGTTTTTCATGGAAAGAGTGATAAAGTTCTGGAATGGCTGCCCATGAGGTGGTGGAATCATCATCCCTGGGTGTGTTTAACAAAGCCTGGATGTGGCACTGGGTGCCAGGGTTGAGTTGAGCTGTTTGGGATGGGTTGGACTCGATGGTCTTGAAGGTCTCTGCCAACCTGGTCATTCTGTCAATATTCTGTGTTCAGTGAGGGTGGGCAGGCCCTGGCACAGGTGCCCAGAGCAGCTGTGGCTGCCCCTGGATCCCTGGCAGTGCCCAAGGCCAGGTTGGACATTGGGACACCCTGGGACAGTGGGAGGTGTCCCTGCCATGGCAGGGGTGCCACTGGGTGGGATTTGAGGTCCCTTTCCAACTGACCCATTCCATGATTTTATGTGTCTGCCAGCTCTGTCACTGTCAGATCTTGGGCCATACTTTGTTCTGAGTTCCCTGATGTTGTTTCTTTGATTTGCAGGAGGAACCCAGGCTCTGGGCCGGCAGGAGCTGTGGAACACCAAGAGAGTCTTTTTCCTCACTCCTCAGATAATGGTCAATGACCTCTCTCGTGGGACCTGTCCTGCTACGGAGATCAAATGTCTGGTTATTGATGAAGCCCACAAAGCCCTTGGCAATCATGCCTACTGCCAGGTAGGGCTGGAACCACCCCACTCTTCTCTCCCAGTCACAAAAACCTTCCCCAGAATTGCTTCCAGCATCTCCATAAAGCAGCAGTGTCATTGCTGTGGGGAGATTGTCCTTGAGGTCCTTAACTTTGTTTGAAAGACATCCAACGTTCCTGTGTGTTGTCATTGCCTTGTTTATTAATAATACCTGTAAGGTATCTTTTCGGTGCCTCCATTAAATTGTAATTTTGGTTTAAAGATAGTTTTGGCTGGGCAATGTTAAAAAAACCCCAGTGTTTTTATAAGGTTCTTTAGCAGAGATAAATCAGTTCAAGATTTCTTCTTAAATTTGGTGTTTGTGTTGATTAGCTAAGGGTTTGTTGAAAAAATTGTAGTTCCATGTAGTATCATGAGTTAATCTCCTGAGAGCAATAGGTGACCTAAAAGTTACTTTGATACACTGGAGAAATTTATTGGATATTTGTGGATTTCAGATAACATAGGATTAATCATCTGTGAATTACATTTTTTAGAGTTTTTCTTCAGACTCAATTTTTGGCAGCTCACCCAAGTTAGTGGGCTGTCAATACTTTTGTTAAATCAAGTGAGAAATCATTTCATAATTTCTCCAGGTTGTTCTTGGTACGTTTCCAGGATGCCCCTGGATCCCTGGCAGTGCCCAAGGCCAGGCTGGACACTGGGGCACCCTGGGACAGTGGGAGGTGTCCCTGCATGGCAGGGCTGGCACTGGGTGGGATTTGAGGTTCCTTTAACCCAAACCATTCTGGGATTCAGTATTTTTGGAGTGTTTTGTTAAGCCTTTCCTGCTTAGTGTGTATTTTCACTGCTGTAGTTTGTACAAGGAAATCATCTCCTCTCAGGGCATTAATGAAGCTTTCCTGCTCTCAGGTTGTGAGGGAGCTGAGCAAATTCACAAATCAATTCCGGGTCCTGGCCCTGAGTGCCACCCCAGGCAGTGACACCAAGGTGAGCCACAGCTCCTTGTATGCTTTAAACAATCAAGGGTGAGGGGCAGCTCTGCTCTTTGCCTGAAGCCTCTGCAGGGTCCTGAGGAATTCCACATCAGGACTGAATCCATTTACAGTCCATTGCTTGGTGAGGTTTGGTGTTTCTCATGCTATAAACAACATTTTATTGATTTGTGAGGGTGGTCAGGCCCTGGCACAGGTGCCCAGAGCAGCTGTGGCTGCCCCTGGATCCCTGGAGTGCCCAAGGCCAGGCTGGACACTGGGGCTGGGAGCACCTGGGACAGTGGGAGGTGTCCCTGCCATGGCAGGGGTGGCACTGGGTGGGATTTAAGGGTCCTTTCCAATCCCCGAGCCTGGAATTCTATTTCCTGTCCTTTCTTTATTCATTGTAGGCAGTGGATGCCTTTTCCTTACAATTTTGTGTAACCCTTGCTAAAATACAGAAATAGTTACTTTGTTTTTGTGGCTTTACCAGGCTGTGCAACAAGTTATCTCCAACTTGCTGATTGCTCAGATAGAGGTGTGTGCTGAAGATTCTCCAGAAATTCAGCCTTATTCTCACGAGAGACAAGTGGAAAAAATTGTAGTTCCACTTGGGGAAGAACTGGTAGAATTTCAGAACATTTACATCAAGGTGAGTGACTGCATTTCCTTTTTGGTCAGTGGCCAGTGACTGGAAATGTTTTATCACCTCTGTCTAGCCTTGCAGTGTTTATAAAGGCAACACTTTCTTGTGTAATTAACTTTGATTATAGGGTAAATTAAGCACCGTGGGTTCAACTCCAGCAGCTGCAGTTTCATTTTGCACCAATGACACCTTTTACCTTGAGTAACTTGGAAAGCTCGGGTGGAAAACTTGGAATTGAATTTTCCTCACTCTCTGTCTGCAGAGTTGACACCAGACCTAAACTGAGGTTTCTGTATTTGGCTGAACTCAGTATTAAGATGTTGGGAATGCCCTGAGGAGTCTGTGTGTGGGCTGGAACATTTTCTCTTCCTAAAAATAATGTTCTTTAGAATAAGCTTTAAGTCATCTGTGAGTGTAATTAGTTCTCTTGGAGGTTTTTTAAATCGGTTTATTTGGTTTATTAATTTATTTATTGGCCTATTTCTATTATGATGATGACATCTTTTTCTTTTCTACCAATCTTTAATGCCAAAATATGAGATTCTGGGGACCAGAGCTGTTTGTCAGTCAGTTGTAACTTAGTGATCTGTGCCTTCCCCTTGTTGGCAAATGATGTTACACAAAACACCACTCTGGAAAGTGTAAAATATTTGCTCTTTTTTTGTTTAGAGGCATAAAAAGTTAGGATTGAGTTGTGTATCAGACTGTTGGCCTCAGAGCACGTGTGTTTAACAAAGCCTGGGTCTGGCTGGGTTGAGTTGAGCTGTTGGGGCTGGGTTGGACTCCATGATCCTGAAGGTCTCTCCCAGCCTGGTGATTCTGGGAATTCTGGGAATTTGGTTAAAATTGATGGATTTTGGTGTAGCTGTGTGAAGAGAACTGGAAGGCAAACTTGTGAGTGCATCAGGTATTTGCAACCCAGGGACCTGAGAGTGTTTAAATGAGGAACCTCCAGTGATAAAGAGAAACTTTACAGTAGTTTTGCATCACTGCAGGTGCCTCTGAGGGCTCTGTGGAGTGCAGGGCTTTGTTTTGGGGTTTCAGCTGTGGTGAGCACCTTGGTTTGGCACCACCAGCCTTGCCTGTGGCTGCAGGGCTTTGTTTCCTTCCTGTGCTCTGGATTTGCATTTCAAGTGCTGCTGCTTTCCTGGAGAACACAACTTCTAGTAACAGCCAGGGCTGCAGGGAAGGTTTGCCTCACTCCTGGAGGCCTCAGCACTTGGGGAAGTGGGGCTTGAGGTGACCATTTCACATCTGGCTTTTGTAAAATCAGAGCAGGATCCCAAGGCAGGAGAGCAAAAGCACCTCTGTGTGCTGCAAGAATGAGAGCCAGGTGTCTGTGCACAGTAAAATCATTCTTTAATTGTGCCAAACAGTAAACAAGACAACATTTCAGTGTGAGCAAAGGACAGTGTCAGACAGCACAGCACAACAATGCCAGAGGAGCTCTGTGGAGATGGCTTTACATACAATAAGCAAGGCCCTGAGTATCACAATAGCTGGAATCAACGTTTTAGGCACTAACTCTGGTTTGGAAAATACACAGTATGCAGGACAACACTTATCTGTTAAGGCTACATCATTTAATCTTCCAAAAATAGGGGTGAATGCTGATTTATTATCTCCTTTCATGAGTGGAAAGCTAATAACTTCACATTAAACTGAAAATCCAGGGGTGGCTCCCAAAGCAGAGCCACGGATGGATAACAAAATACCTGTTCTAGGCAGTCATGCCTGACCTGGTGTAGTCAGATCTGAGTAGCAGTGATGTTTGCTTGCCATTCAGTGGTGTAACAACTGAATAAACTGCATTTTGTGTCAGCTAAACACTGGAGCTCTTGGTGCCTGTGCTCCTGAGGCCAGTGGCAGCTCTTGGTACCAAGCCATAAAGTGTATCTCCAAACTGGAGCTGAAGTAGGGTTTTTTTTTGGTTTTTTTGGTTTTTTTTCTCAGCAGCAGAAGCCATCTAACAGAAGTGAAAATAAATAAATACTATCTTGGGATTCACAGTTTGCCACAAAGAGCAGGCAGTGCTGGGCTGCAGGTGGGATGTCAGCACACTCAGATAGATCTGCTCGTGCTCCAGGGGTGTTTCTGGAACATCACCCACGGGGAGCTGAGCCACAGGAGGGGTGGCAGGGACATCAGACACAGCAGATGCTTTTGCAGGAGAGGCTTAAAATGTGAATTATGTACAAACTGGTGCTCTGTGGTGAGAGGATTTCACTGCTCCCAGGAGCTATGCAACATCTGTTGTGCCGAAGCATAATGAGAATTTCCCTCGCTGGCAAAAGAATTCAGATGGCAGAAATTTCTTTTAATTTGCCATAAAATCTTGTCAGAGGTGAAAATTACTTTTATGTACTCTTATAAAAATCTGAGGGAGGATATGAGAACAAAACCTTTTATTTAATGCCTCCCTGGGCCATCTATTCAACTCAGTTTTAAAAATACTTTCACTGTTTTTCTTTCATTAAGAGCTTTTACTTTAATACTGGCTGGCATTTTTAATTTTCCTTCTCCCAGGCTGGGACACTGTATTGCATTTTAGTTTGTTTGGGTTTTTTTTCCCCTCTCCATAAAAACTCTTGGGTTTTTTGTGTTAAAACTAAGGCTTTTGTGTCTCTTTATTTTGTGTTTCCTTTTCCCCTCTCCTTGCTGCTTCCCAAGGAATCTCTGTGCCCAGCAGGCACCAGAGGGCACCTTGGTCCTGCTTAAACCAGGGCCACTCTGATCCTGCTGCTCAGGAGAGCTTTTGGGCTGAGCACAGAGCCCTCCCTCCCTCCCTCCCTGTGGGACCAGGAGGCTTTTTGGGTTCTTTCAGAAATCCTCCACAAATCCATTTTTGGAGTTGTTTTTTCACCCTGCTGTGAGTTAGCAGCCCCTGGCTCTGGTTGCTGCTCTCTGTGTTGGAATAAAGGGCACAGAAGCTCTGCTGGAACCCTAAATCCTGTAACCAATAAATAATGCTGGTGATGTACTCAGTGAATTTTATATAAAAAAATATTTACGTCTATTAGGAATAAACTCTACCATCACATCAGTAAGGGGAGACATTAGGGAGGGATTTTGGAGAGCAGAATTCTTTGCTACCCTGACTCTAAAGTGCAGTAGGTGCTCTTGGGCTGTGTGGAACAGTGGCAATGCTGCTCCCACACCTTCTGGGGGCTCTGGAACGTGGGAGCTCAGCCTCTGCACAGAGCCAGGCTGCCAGCTGAGGGCTTAGCACAGGGCTGAGGGGCAAAACAACCAACAAATTGATACTGGGGAGAAAAAGCTCTCACAGTGAGGGTGGTCAGATGCTGGGACAGGCCCAGAGGGGTCCCTGGGGATGCTCAAACCCAGCTGTGCTGCCTGGAGCAGCAGCCCTGCTCTCAGCAGAGGTGTCTGCCCCAGGTCACTCCCAGCTGAGGTGTTCTCTGTGGATATTTGTGTCATTTATGCCATTTACAGCCAGAAGTGCTGAACAATTTACTCCAGCTGCAGTGCTTTAACACCCAGCAAAGCTGTAAGAATGAACTGTTCAGAAAACTGCAGTTCAAAGGAACCAGTGTCTGCTTAGGAATGCCAGAGCCAGTCATGGGATTCCTGGGGGGGTGTGATGAGGATAACCTCAGTAATTTTGCTGTCAACACTTGAGTGAGCAATAGGAGTTTTTGGTCTCTCTCCAGACTGGGGGAGCTTTGGTTGGGAGCTTTCTGAGGTAAGCTTTGGGGATGGATCTCTGTGCCACAGCTGTCAGCATTGGCCTGTTCTTACTCCATGCTCCAATCCCACTGGGCTAAGCCTGGTGGTTCTCCTCAGGAACTGAGACCTGGACATTCTTTCTGTGCCTGTGTGAGGTGGGTTTGCTGTGTCACACTGAGAGCCCCAGCGGGGTCTTTGTGCAGCACTGGAGCAGGCCAGGGCTCCAGGATGTCCCCAGGGAGCATCCTGAGCCACAGGCAGCCTAGGGATGCCAGAGGGAAGGGGTTTCTGCCTCCCTTACCTGCTCAATAAGATAGAAAAGCTGAACTAACTTTAAAGTGCCAAAACCCTCCATCCAATCTGTGGGAGAGTTGCCGCGGGGATCTGTGGCTGGGGAGCTGAGCTGGGCTGGCTGCTCCTAACCCAGCTGAGATCCCCAGTGCTGGCCTGTGACAGGGGACACCTGGGGTCACCTGTGAGAGGGAGGAGGCCCCGTGGGCAGCAGCAGCAGCAGCAGGAGGAGCTCAGGGCCGCTGCAGGAACCAGATCTCGTTGTGGCGGTTGGCGGCGGCGGGGTTGGTGTAGCCGGCGATGATGAACGTGTCCCGCAGGCACAGCTCGGGGCTCTCCAGGATGGCTGCCAGCAGGTTGATCTCCCTCATGATGGAGTCCTCGTTGGTGATCCCTCGGAAGCTCCTGCAGGGGTCAGCTCAGGTCAGCTCTGGCTGCTTCCACAGCTCCCTGACGCTGCTGGGGGTGGCTCTGCACCCCAGGAACGGCGACAGGACTAGACAGGACTAAAGGGGACAGACCTAAGCTGCGCCTGGGGAGGTTTAGGCTGGACTTGAGGAAAAAGCTCCTCGCAGAAAAAGTGATTGGGCATTGCAAAGGGCTGCCCAGGGAGGTGGTGGAGTCACCATCCCTGGAGGTGTTTAAGTAAAGCCTGGATGTGGCACTGGTGCCATGGTCTGGGTGACAAGGTGGTGTTAGGGCATAGCTTGGACTCAGTGATCTCAAAGGTCTTTTCCAGCCTAGTTCATTCTGTGATTCATTTTAAACCCACTGTTCTTCCAGAGCCACTGTTTCATTTTTCCAGAGCCACTGTGTTCATTTTAAACCCACTATTTTTCCAGAAATGCCTTCTGAGTGACTTGGTTGTGTTTCACCAATGGTACTGACTGTGATTAATCCCAAACCATTTTTTCTTAAAGTTTTCTGTGCCACATCAGACACTTTGTTCCCAACTATACAGAATAGTCTGAGTGTGTTTTATCATACAATTACAGATGCATCATTTTACCAAGTAATTGATATAAATATAGAATAACCTGAGCTGGAAGGGACACACAGGGATTGTGGAGTCCAATCATAGCCCTGCCCAGACCCCTCAGCAATCCCACCCTGGGCATCCCTGGCAGTGCTGCCCAAACCCTCCTGGAGCTCTGGCAGCCTTGGGAATGTGCCCATTCCCTGGGGAGCCTGGGCAGAGCCCAAAACCATTCCCTGTTATAAATTTGTAACCTTTATTTCCTGACCATCCCATTCATGAACCAGGCAGCTTTTACAACTCTTGAAATTAAGTTTTACAAGGTCTAAAAATCCTAAAGTGCCCGGACTGAGAGCTGGGCGTTTTCCCTGTGTTTAGCAGAGCAGTTAAAGCATTTCTCACCTGCTGTAGACAATGGTGGCAGGCCACTCCTCGATGATGATGTCAGAGTCGAAGGGGTGTGGGGGCTCGTCCTGCAGCACCTCGGGCAGGTAATAGGCCACTGTCACCGCCTGTGTCATCGCCGACTGCGCCTCGTTGGTGTGCACGATGGTGACAATGGGCACGGTGATGCCCAGGTACAGCCCTGCCCACACACAGGGGGAGGTGAGAGCATTCAGGAGGCTCAGGAGGAGCTCTGCACACTGTCCCTGCCTGCTGAACTTGGGGGTTGAATCTGCATTTGTGTGGGGATAGTTATTCTGAGTTGGGGGTTATTTGGGCAAATCAAAAGTTTAGTGCAGTTAAGAGGATGCTTAGGCTTAGGAATAGGGCCAGGATGAATAGGACTATGTCTATTACTCTTCTCTGGCTTTAAACCAGATTCCAAGGATTGGAAGTGGATCATAATTAGTGTCACAGGCATCTTTCATGAAAAATCCTTTCTCAGGATTTTTCCTTGTGAGAAGCTGCAGTTTCAGCAACTAAAAGTAAACAATGGTTATCTGCTGCTGTGGAATGCAACAGGTAGACTCGTGATTAGTTTCTTGTAAATGTTTAGATTTACTAACTACTCACAGCAGAGCTAGTTCTTGCTCTCTGTCTGAGACACAAATCTTTGTTATTCATTCTTTTCTATTCTTAGCTTAGCTAGCTTCTGAAAAAACTTTTTCTTTTCTATTTTTTTTAGTATAGTCTTAATGTAACATATATAATAAAATAATAAATCAAGCTTTCTGATCATAAAGTCAACATTTTCTTCTCTTCTTCATCTTGAAAACCCTTGTGACCAGGGTCACAAATTAGTATAGTAGAAGAGTAAGATGCTCATCAGTAGGTAGAAATGTAGAGGAATAATCATACAGCATTTACAAAGTGTCAGCATCAGGCAGCTGCTTCAAACCCAAAGTGTTTGAAGGGATTTCACTGGGATGGTTTAGGTAGTGTGGGTGTGCTCCAAGCTGGGAGGAGCAGTGAGTGCCCAGAGCAGCTCTGGCTGCCCCTGCATCCCCAAAAGTGTTCCAGACCAGTTGGACACTGGGGCTTGGAGCAGCCTGGGACGGTGGGAGGTGTCCCTGCCATGGCAGGGGTGGAACAGGAAGATCTTTAAGGTCCCTTCCCAGCCAAGCCATCTGTGACTCCATGATTTCCCTTGCTTTGTAGTGTGTGTGTGTGTGTGCAAGGTTTGTGCATCTGTGTCCAAAACACAGCATTTGGTGAGCTCTCCCCTCTTCATGCAGGGCAGGGAGTTTGCCTGAAATCTTTTCCCTCTCCTAAAGGAGTTGTGTTTATCTTCAAACTGACCTTGTATCATGGTTTAAATATTTGGGAACAAAACTGCAGGAAAGAGAAGGGGCTGCTCTGTGAATTCATTGAGGGTTTGCTGGTGTTAAAAATGTTGCAATATTTTTTGGTACTGTTGCGTGTTTGGAGTGCAGGAGGCAGAGGGAACTTCCTTTCTGTACAGTTTGATCACAACCCTGCAGTTCTGGAGCTAAAATTACTTTTAAACCACATAAAAGTGTTAAAAGAATGGGGAAGGTACCCTGGGGAAGGAAAAGCTTTTGTGATCAATGTTTGTGTTTTCTTGGAAAGATACTTAAGGGCTGAGTCAATTACAGCACAGAGCACTGAGCATGGCAAAACTTGATAGTAACTGGAGGATGAAGAATATGAGAGCTGATGTCTGGAAGTGAAAACCAGATTCAATTGGATTGCACACCAGGTGCACATTTTACAGGCAGGCACAAGCTCTCAAGGACATGGTGGATTTGCCATTATTTTGAGCTAAAACTAGATTATCTTGCTGGAAAACATGCTTCAACCACAAATTTGCTGTGTCCGTTGGGACAGGGACAATTTAATATCTTAACTAAAGGGAAGGAGGCAGAAACCTCTGCTCCCTTTTGGTATCACACACTGCCAGGTGATTTCAGTGCTGCTGTGAAAATGAAACTCTGTAAATCCTGTAGCAAATGTCAGATTTACAGCAGAGAGCAGCCTGGGACAGTGGGAGGTGTCCCTGCCATGGCAGGGGTGGCACTGGAGGGGATTTTAGCTCCTTCCAACCCAAACCCTTCCAGGATTTCTATGATTTTTCTGGAAAGGCTGTATCATGGAAAAACATCCCTATAGGGTGTGTATTTGGGAAAAAACTGTTCAAAGCATCTCCCTAATTAGGAGAGAGGGTAGAAATGCCATTGGGGTGTCATTACCTGAGGAGTTCTGCTCACAGATGTACCTCATGAGCTTCATGAAGCCGAGGCAGATGCTCTGCTCGTACTGCTTCTCTTTCATTTTGATACAAGCCCACTTGGCTTTCCCATACTGCCTTTTCTCATAGAGTAGATCTCCCAGCTGCAAACACACAGGGAACAATTTGGGATTGTCATTTATTCAGCTAAAAACATCAACCAAACAAATACGAGTGAAGCACAAGAACTGCATCTTTACAGCTCTCAGTGCCGTGACCTCGAAAGAAACATGGATTTTAATCCTTCCTCCTATAAACCAAGGAATGCACTGCTGATCTTGCATCAAAACTGACTTCAGCAGATTTTTAGGCAGTTCTCCTTTAAATAAGGAGCTGTCATCTTTTGGACTGGCACTATTAAACATTTAGTTGCAATTAACACTGAATAATCTTGTTTTTTAGCTGCAGTTGTTACAGTAATACTGTAACATTAAAAATGCTTTCAACATAAACAGTCAGGAGTCCCAAACTTCATTTAAACACACTGCAGTGTGTGAAAATGAAATTCAATCAAATGATAATATTTATAAGTGTGAATTATTTAAATCTATTTAAAAGAAATGTGGCCAAAAAGTCCTCATAGATGGTCAGTAAAGGTTTTTGTGGTTTTTGATTTAAGGTTAAACATTTGTTTGCACATTTCCTGAGCTGGAAGCAATATGCTGTACATTAATTTCAGTATTTTACTAGAGGATAAGATGGGTTTACAAATTGCTGCTTTGTTTGATAATGATTTGTGATACAGAAGTACATTTTTGGTTTTAAATTCAGTTGTTCATTTCTTTCAAGTACTCTTTGCTAATGTTTTATCAACATGACTGTAAAGGAGCAAATGCACCAATTTAAGTGAAGAAAATGGGCATTTTATTTCAAATGGCAAAGAGGGGTTTTTGTTAATTTAATTATGTCTCAAAGGGTGGAATTCCTGGCCATCTTCTGACTTGCAAAAACGAAAATTACACATGTCCAAGGGCTGAGATGTTCCAAATGAGGGGCAGTGGCACAGTTACAATGTTTGCACTCATGTTCAGAGTCCCACAGAGTTCGAAGCCCTTTGTGAGGAGCCCCACGCCATTTGTGGAGCCCTGTGTGCAGAGGGGGGGCAGCAGTACCTTCTCCTTGCGCTGGATCAGCGTGAAGGGGATGCTCTGCCTCTCCTGGGGGTTGTTGTTCCTGGTCAGCTGCTGGATGGGCTCTGCCATGTCTGCAACAGAACCACAGTTCCCAGTGAGACTGCAGGAACAGGACTGAAATGTGCTTCATTCCCTTGGGGGTCTTTGTCACTGCTGTTGTTTGCTCGTTTCTAGGCAAGGAAAAAGCTTTTCCTAGGAGAGGTTTGTCACAGACATCTCTTATGAAAAATCCTGTCATTAGGATCTTTTCTCCTGAGAAACTGAGAGGCCTCAGGAACAAAATGTAACCAATGGTTATCTGCTGCTGTGGAATGCAACAGGTGCATCTGGGATTGGTCTCTTGTGGTTGTTTCTAATTAATGGCCAATCACAGCCCAACTGGCTCAGACTGTCTGGTCAGTCACAAGATTTTATTGTTTTTTCTTTCCTTTCAAGCCTTCTGATGAAATCCTTTCTTCTATTCTTTAGTATAGTTTTAGCATATCATTTTCTTTTAATATAATATATATCCTAAAATAATAAATCAGCCTTCTGAAACATGGAGTCAAGATTCTCATCTCTTCCATGTTGGGGTTGCCTGCAAATTCAACAGAGGTTACCTGAGTTCTGCCCCTGTGTTCTTAGGAGTGGGTTTCCCTCTCCCATTCCCTACATTTCCTACCCAAGTGTCCATGGAAAGTTCTTGGCTGGGCCCCATTTCTGGCCGTGTGCAGGGGCCATTCCCAGCTCAGCACCTCTTGTGCTGCTAGGTTCAGGTGTATCCACACAGAGGACATTAGGGTGGCTGCTCTTGTGGGCAGGCTCAAGGAAATACTGCTGTGGGAATGAATTTCCAAAGGGTGTTTAATGCCTAAAGGTGCAGTTGTAACTCTGGTTATCCTGACATCAATTCTAGCTCAAGGTCGTGAATAAATTCTGCTCAGGAGGTGATCCCTGCCAGACAGGCTTGGAAACTGTGGGTACAAGGTCAGTCTTAGGCATGGAACACCTCTCTGCCACAAGGGTTGGTCCCCTGCCTCCCAGAGCTGGGCTGATTGAGGGCATTTGTGTACATAGAGGATTAGAAACTCGATTTTATGTGCAGTGCTTGACAGTCTGGATGTGAACCCCTGCCCTGCTGCCCCACAGTGTGTGCTGCACATGCAGGAAAAGGAGGAGTTTCAGCTCCCAGAGCCCTTTTCTGGGGAGCTGGAGGTGCCTCAGGTGGAAGAGGCAGGATAATGGGGGAAGAGAGTATTTATTATCCATGTTTGAGAGGAGGGGAGAGTTAAGATGCAGGAGAATTAACTTGGCCGAGGTCACTCAGTAAATCTGTAGCTGAGCTGGGAATCAAACCTCCATCTCCTGGCATCCAGTCCAGGGCTTTAGCCTTAAGACTGTTTGGAATAGTAAAGATCCTTAAACAAAGGGGAGGGGAAAAAATAAAGGTAAAAAAGCTACATTGTAGTTAAGTGTAAACATTTTTTCTCTGCAATATGTCACTGGGAAACATTTAAAATGTAACTAATAACTGACATGTGAATGGATCTCTTTGAAGGCTGAGGGAAAAATAAAAGTAGAGTTCACCACTGTATTTTCCAAGAATTAGGAAAGCTTTCAGGACTCTAGAATTAACTCTATTTTTAAATTACTTTATCAATTAGTGGGGATGGGTTATGTTTTTTGCATTCCATATTAATGCAGAGGGTAGGGATTACAACTGATTAAAGTCCTTTGGGGGGTTTTATCCTTCAGTTTATGAATCTGTGCTTTGCATTGTCCCAGTCTGCAGAGCTCCACCTGTGCAGGGCCAGGCAGGCAGCAGCAGGACAAGGACAGTTGTGTTTTCTGCAGTCATGGCTCCAGTGATGCACAGGGATCATCCCAGACCCCCAGCAATCCCACCCTGGCCATCCCTGAGGGTGTTCACCAAACCCTCCTGGGGCTCTGGCAGCCTCAGGCCGTGCCCATTCCCTGGGGGGCTGTTCCAGTGCTGATTCCACCCTCTGAGGAAGAACCTTTCCTAAAATCCACCCTAAACATTCCCTGGGTCCTCTCCCTGGCCCAGACAGGCAGGGACATGGGCTGCTCCTTGTCACAGGGGGATTCCTCCTTCTGGAAAATCCCCTCCTCCTTCAGCCCCTGGACAGGACCTTGTATTACCTTATCTTGACTTTAGTAACATGTGCTGAGTGCCACAGAGCAAACCTGTAATACTGTGTAACTAAATGATATCTATAACTGTGTAACTAAATAATATGTATAACTGTAACTAAAACATGCTCACACCCTGCTTTTGACATATTCCTTGGACTTTGTATTCTTCCTGATGGAATTTAGGAATTCCAGGCACCAGAACAGCAGGTAATTCTGTGGGAAGGGCTCTGGTTTTCTGCTGCACTCAGGGGTGTTAAATAGAGACCCTCTGAGCCCTGGGGATCCTGGAAATGTCAGATTGCAGCATTCCAGACACAGAGCCATGGCTGCTGGAGTGACTGCTGGCACTCTGGGGTGGCCCTGGGCATCCAGAGACCCTCCAGGGGCAGGGAGAGCAAGGCAAGGCAGGGAGTCCTGCTCAGGCTGATCTTACCCTTCTTTTAGCATGTTAATTGTCATTAAAGCTTTCCAGAGTTAAGATGAGGGACTTCAAACTTGAGACTTCGAACACTTGCTGTGTTGGAATATAGAAAGAGTTTTTAAAGAGCAGTAATTTAATACAGGTAGTGTCCAGTGCAGCCTGGGCCAGGTTTGGCTCTCCCCACCTCGGGAAGGTGAGTTACCTGCCCAGCAGAGATGCTGCAGATCTCTGCTCCTCTGGCCAGGACAGGGCAGAGTTAAATCTGACCGAGCTGAGCCTGTGGTGACTCTCTGCTGCTTGTTAGGAGTTCTCTGACTCATCACTCTTTCAGATTCTCCAGACTTTCTTAAAATTGAAAACAACCGATTCTGACCAAGATGAGCCCGGGAGCCTTGCTGTGGAAAGCAAATCAATCCTTTACTTGTTTACTCTGGGCCGTTTTTAAACACAGCCCTCTTTCCTTAAAGAACTGTACTGGGGTAGAGGGGATACTTTTAGGAAGAACGCTTTTGCAGGTCGTCAGTTTAATATTTAATTAGCTCTGAAAACTCACATTGGCTGGTTTTAGGTCTGAAAACTCGCAGTGGTTGTTTTCAGTGCTAATCGGTCACTGAATTAGGTCTGAAAACTTGCACTGGTTGTTTTCAGTGCTAATCGGTCACTGAATTAGATCTGAAAACTCGCAGTGGTTGTTTTCAGTGCTAATCGGTCACTGAATTAGGTCTGAAAACTTGCACTGGTTGTTTTTAGTGCGAATGGGTCACTGAATTAGATCTGAAAACTCACTGGTTGTTTTTAGTGCGAATGGGTCACTGAATTAGGTCTGAAAACTCGCACTGGTTGTTTTTAGTGCGAATGGGTCACTGAATTAGGTCTGAAAACTCGCACTGATTGTTTTCAGTGCGAATGGGTCACTGAATTAGGTCTGAAAACTCGCACTGGTTGTTTTTAGTGCGAATGGGTCACTGAATTAGATCTGAAAACTCGCACTGCTTGTTTTCAGTGCGAATAGATCACTCCAGCGCCGCTGCAGCCGCCTCCCTGCCTTACGGGAAGCTTTGCATCGCCCCGGGTGCAGCTTTAGCCGCTCCAGAGCCAGACTCCGGTGGCTCAGACTCGCGCAGGGCTTTGCTGGGTGTTCATTGCCGTGTCCCGCAGCCCCAGTCCCGCGTCCCGGCCTTACCTCGGGGCACGTCCACCTGGTGCCCCCGTCCCACGCTCTGCCAGTAGCTCAGCAGCCGCTCCTGCTCCTCGTCGTCCATGCGCTCGGCCGCCTCCTCCTCCAGGCTGCTGCCGTGGCTGTGGTACGCCGAGTCGGGGCTCTCCTCGGCCAGCCCGTCCAGATCCTCCAGCGTGATCGCGGCGGGGCCGCCGGGCCCCGCGCCGCCCATGCGGCACCCGCCCGTCTCCATCCCCGCTCCGCGCCCCTAACGCCGCCGCCGCCGGCCTTATCTAGGGACCGGCACCGGGGCGGGGGCACCGCGGGCACCGCCTCTGCCCGCCCAGCGCCCGAGGGACGGATAGAGCCGGGCATGGAGGGATGGGGCACCGCGGGCACCGCCTCTGCCCGCCCAGCGCCCGAGGGATGGAGAGAGCCGGGCATGGAGGGATGGGGCACCGCGGGCACCGCCTCTGCCCGCCCAGCGCCGGAGGGATGGATAGAGCCGGGCATGGAGGGATGGGGCACCGCGGGCACCGCCTCTGCCCGCCCAGCGCCGGAGGGATGGATAGAGCCGGGCATGGAGGGATGGGGCACCGCGGGCACCGCCTCTGCCCGCCCAGCGCCGGAGGGACGGATAGAGCCGGGCATGGAGGAATGGGGCACCGCGGGCACCGCCTCTGCCCGCCCAGCGCCGGCAGGGAGGGATGGGGCGCCGCGGGCACCGCGGGCACCGCCTCTGTCCACCCAGCGCCGGAGGGATGGAGAGAGCCGGGCATGGAGGGATGGGGCACCGCGGGCACCGCCTCTGCCCGCCCAGCGCCGGAGGGATGGAGAGAGCCGGGCACGGAGGGATGGGGCACCGCGGGCCAGCAGGGCACCCGGGCATGCAGGGATGCATGGATGGATGGATGGAACTGGGGATGGAGGGATGGGGAACCATGGGCACCACCTCTGCCCATCTAGCGCCAGGCAGGGCACCTGGGGATGGATGGATGGATGGATGGATGGATGGATGGATGGATGGATGGATGGATGGATGGATGATGGATGGATGGATGGATGGATGGATGGATGGATGGATGGAGCTGGGGATGGAGGGATGAGGACCCAGGCAGGGATGGATGGCTCCAGGGATGGGTAGAGCTGGGGATGGATGGCTCCAGGGATGGATGGCTCCAGGGATGGGTAGAGCTGGGGATGGATGGCTCCAGGGATGGATGGCTCCAGGGATGGGTAGAGCTGGGGATGGATGGATCCAGGGATGGATGGATCCAGGGATGGATGGCTGCAGGGATGGGTAGAGCTGGGGATGGATGCCTCCAGGGATGGATGGATCCAGGGATGGGTAGAGCTGGGGATGGATGTCTCCAGGAATGGATGCCTGCTCCTGGTCCCTTCACCCTGTGCTGCAGGGACTGAGCAGAGCAGAATTTACACAAGTTTGTGTTCTGGCTGTTTTCCCACTCATTCCCTCTCTCCCAGCTGTTCTCTTTGTGGTGTTTTCCCCACTGCTTTTCATGTCCTGTTAGTCATTCTTTATTGGGGTTTTATTTTACTGCTTTAACCACACTTTAAAGACAAGCCTTCCATTTTGTTTAGGAGATCTCTGAGGTCTTTCCAAAATATTAGGAGTGCAGAAACTCTGGGATGTTTTGTTACTGAAGTCCAGCTTTGGAAGTTCTCAGCTGTGTAATTTTGCAGTTGCTGAGACAAGCCTTTGAATGAGGAAGATGAGCAGCCCCATTATGGGGTGGATATGGCAAATTAAAGCAGGAGCTGGATTTGAATCAGGAGTCTGTGTGGACTCTGTTGTTTTTTATTCCAAATTTAACATGGAATGGCTGTTGTGGCCCTTTTTGTGCAGGCAGGAAAGGGAATCCTCGGGCATTTAGGGGTTTAGAATAATAGGAAAATAGTCCTTTCCTGTGCACTGTTGATGCTTCCAGGGAAAGCTGGAGCTTGGGGATGTGGCTGTTGTGATGCTTAATCTGCCCCCTCGTTTTTCCCTTTTTCTGGGCTGTCCCTTCTCCAGGCTCAGCTTTGGCTCCCCAGCCCCAGGGGCTGAGCTGGCTGTGCAAATGAACCCTGAACTGCCCCAGAAGCTGAGATGTGCCTGTCCTGATGTGCTCCTGGCAGGGCAGACCCAATGCCTGCTGTCCTTGGAAGTGCTCCTGGGGGAATTCATAACCAGAGGCACAGCTGGGAATATCCTGAGAGGGATTTTGGGGTGCAGGGAGTGAAGCACAGGTCACTGAGGGGGTCTGGGCTCTGCCTGCAGGCAGTGAAGCAGCACCAGAGGCTCTGGAATTCACTGGGAAGGCAAATCCTGGAGCAAGGCTGGAGCTGGTGCTTGTTTAATGTCTGGGTGGGTGCTGATCTGATTTCACAGGCAGCTGCCCCAGAGCAGCACCAGGGGCTCCCTCCCTGCAGGGAGAGACCTGGCTGAACCTCAGCCCTAAGGGGAGGCACAGTGGGAACCCATCCCTGCCCAGGTAAATCCCACACCCCACACTCCAGGGCTGGGGCTGAGGAATTTTCCACTGAACATTCCTGGTTATCAGTACCAAGGGGGGGCATCCTGGCTCTTGGAGATTTCTCCCAGGAACTGGCATTCCTGTTTGAGGCAGCATGTGGATGTGCTTTTTCTGCCCATCCTGCATAAATAATTCATGAAAAACAATCCCAACTCTTTTGCCTACACATTAATGATGAGAATTAATAGTTGCTTAAATGAAATTATTTCTAAGTATGAAGTGTCTTTGCTGGAGGTGAGAGGAAAGACAAAGAAAAACCAACCAGCAGAAAAAGAGTTTAAAATCACAGCTAAATTTCTCTATATGTGCCAAATGCCACAGAATATTGACTAAGAGAAAGAGGCTGGGAGGAGTTTAAAATGCTGTTTTAAAAATCCATCTGTACAAATGACTCTGTGTGTATTTAGTTTGTCCTTGATTCCTGATGAGCTTGGTAATTAGTGCATTTGATGGAGTACTGGAGATGTGATGGGCTGTGTCTGGATGGATAACAGAGGAACTCCTTGTTACTGCAGGTGAAAAAAGCTGATTTTTTGTTGTATTTGTTGTGGTTTTGTCCCCAAACTTGCTAATTTTGTGTATCACTGCTGGCTAATAAACAGCCACTCTTTGAAAAAACACAGTTTTGGTAGTGCTGTGTTCTCTGTGCATTCCTGGCAGGTTCTGTCTCTGAATAGAACAGAAAAACTGATATTCAGCCTTAAAAATTTCAGATCCAAACCATCCTTAGTGGATGCTCCTTTCTGTCTGACAGTCACTTACTGAGTGGTGAGTTGATACAGAAAAGCCACTTCTTTTTTAATATCTCTCAGTAAAAAGTAAAATTGTTCTTGGTGAAATTAGTTGAAAAGTGAAAACTGGAGGTCTTGTTTTATAACCTCTATGAAAGGAAAAATGCTGTAACAGGAGAAAACTCAGCTGGTAGGAAAAGACAAAGTATTGGGGTTTTTTGCTTCCAGGGAAGAACAGTGAATTTTCAGTGTGTCTCATGTCCCTGGAAGATTGGGAAGGGTGTGAATGAGTTAATAGAAACTTAAACAAAATTTTGGTGCCAAGATCATTACTGGGCTGAGCAGTATTGGGTTTGGAGAGGGACAGGATCAGCTAAAATCCACCCTGCCCTGCTGTGTCCCTGCTGCTCTCCTTCCTTTATTGGCCAGGTGAGAAAACATCAGGAAGGAATTGCACAAAATTCATTTTTCTGCCTGGTTCAGAGTTTGTTTGTCACAACTCTGAAGTTTTACAGGAGAATAACTAAAGCTCAGTGCCAGTCAGAGCTCCAGAGCCTCCCCAGCAGGCAGACACTGGACAGGGTTTGCTCCTGGAAGTTACTTTTGGGAATATTGGCTGCTCCATGGACTCTCCTCAAGGTATCACCCTGGGGGAACCCAAAGCTCCCTGGTTTCAGTGCTGGAACAGAGCAGGGAATGCTCTGGATGCTCCTGTGCCCTTCCCTGGAGCAGGGGGAGGCTCTGGCTGTGTTCACACTCCCTGCAGGGTCTCTGCCCTGGCACAGCCCCGCTGTGGGTCTGAGGGGTGAAGCCCTTCCTGAGCCCCTGTGCAGCAGGGCCTGGTGGGCACAGCCTCCTCTTGCCCTGCCCTGCCTTCCTTGGCTCTGTTCTTGGAGAATGGGAGGATCTGGAGCAGCTCAGGGCCAGCACAGCTCTGGGTTTCTCCTGGAGCTCGTGGGTGCTCCCTGCTCCTGGTTTGGGGGATCCCCTTAGGGCAGAGCAGGGAGTTGGGTTGGGTGCTGCCTCACTGGCACTACCTGGGCTCATTTCCTTCACCAGCTCAGCCCCAGAATGTTGGGAAGGGATCCCTGGATAGCCAAGGCCAGGCTGGACACTGGGGCTTGGAGCAGCCTGGGACAGGGGAAGGTGGCCCTGTCATGTCATGGCAGGGCTGGGATGGATGGGATCCCAAACCAGTGTGGGATTCTGACAGTGCTGGAGCCAGGGGGTTTGGAGGAAGGTGCAGGTCTCTTTCAGCCAAGTGTGGCTCTGTAAAACCCAGCCTAAAACCCCTCCCAGGAGAGGCTGGGAGCTCCTGTGGAGGGGATGCACCTTTGGAGTCCCTGTTTGTGGAGGCCCTGTCTGCTTGGCAGCACGTTTCTGCCACCCCTCCTTCTCCCCTGGGAAAGAAAAGGCACTCTAACAGTTATTTATGGGTGTTTTATTTGCTAAAGAACCCCTGCAAATCTGCACTAAAATAATTAGGTCAGGGCGTTAGTTTAGAGCCTTTGTTTTTTATTGTGCCAACAGAAAACAGATTAGGAGCAGTTTTTGGTGAGGTGTAGCTGGCACAGGAACACAAGTCCTTTGCCCTGTGCACAAGTCCTCAGCTCCTGTCAGAGCTCCAAAACCAGGTTCTAAGCTCGTCCTGGGCTCCAAGAACTCCTTGTGCTTTGCTGTGGGAGATCCCTCGGAACAGAGCAAGTCTTTGTGCTCCTGGCAGCTCCAGTGCAGGATGGGATAACTCTGCCAATTGTCTTTTATCTGCTGGCTGTAAATCTGTCAGCTCTGAGCTCCAGCCACTGAGCTGCAGAAAGCCACGAGTGCTCCTGAGCAATTAATTGGAATTAATTCCATGGCTGTGTTTGGGTAACACGACACTGAAGTGTTTTGGAAAGGCTGAGGGGACTTTTCCAGAAGTATTATCTTTTTAATTAAAAATGAAGCTATGGAGGCAAGATAAATGTAACCAGGGAGCAGTGCCT